ACCCCCACAACCACCACCACGACAACGACCACAGCAAAGACCACAACTACCACAACAAAGATCACAACTACCACAACAAAGACCATAACCACCACCACAACGCCTACAACCACCACCACGACAGCCACCACAACAAAGACCACAACTACCACAACAAAGACCATAACCACCACGGCAACGGCCACAACCACCACAACCAGGACTACCACCAGAAAAACAACGACAACTACTACAACTAGTACTACTAGAAGAACTACCACTGCCATAACAACAACAACAACTACTACTATGATGACGACTACAGCTGTCTATTGGTTTCCAGGACCGAAAGGTGCATAATGTCTTTTATTGATAACAACTTTTTTTAAAACTTTCGTTTAAAGGTTTATCCGGTGCTGATGGCATGCCAGGCCTTCCTGGTTCACCAGGTCCTGTAGGAATAATTCAAGATACAGGTGACATGGAAGTAAGATGTCTTAATTTCGATGTACATTTTGTTAATTATCTACATATATTTAGAATGTGGAATCCATTGCAAGACATCGTGAAGAAGACATTCGTACTATGATTCAGCGTCATTTACTCACGCATATCTACAATCCATCACAATTTGTTAGAGGTCGAACACCATTAGTTTCTTCTGCACCTTATATTCCATATGCTCAATTATCAGCAGGAATGCCTGGACAATGTAAGCAAATATTTGAAAGAGTTGTATAAATTTTTATTTAGTCACTATATTTTATGGTTTCAAGCTGGCATCGAAGGTCAACAAGGTTTACCGGTTTGTAAATGCACTTTACCAAATTTTTTATTTGTTTTCTATTTATTTTTTTAGGGTCCACAAGGTGTCATGGGTGAATATGGTATGATTGGAGATCGAGGTTATCCTGTGAGCAATTATATGGATAATTCATACTTATTGTTTTATTTTTTTACATTCATCTTAGGGAGCTGTTGGACCACCAGGTTTTATGGGACAAAGAGGAAGAATTGGACGAAAAGTAAATATTTATTAATAATTTCGCAAATAATATGATTTATAACTCGATTCTTTGTCAGGGAAGTATTGGGAGATTTGGCCGGAAAGGTGAGAAAGGTATTAAAGGTGTTCAGGTTAGTAGAATCGATTAGACAACAAGAATCAATCTTATAAACTTATAGGGAGAGACTGGCTTGATGGGTATTCGTGGTATTATTGGTATCAAAGGTTCGTAGATCTTGTTGTGTCAAATGTCAGAAAGAATTTTTTTTTGAATTTCGTTTTTTTATTTCTAGGAGAAACTGTAAGAAATTTAGCATGTATAATAAATATAACTAAGGCATACATGTTTACAGGGTTCAATAGGAGAAAAAGGAAGGAAAGGAGATATGGGAATTCAAGGAGAAAAAGGTTGTACAGGACAACAAGGAGATCAAGGACCACGTGGAAAGATTGGTAATCGAGGCCAACTAGGACTCGTTGGTGAGCAAGGTGATCAAGGAGCAAAAGGTACAGTTGCATTATAAGTACAATTTGATTTTTTTCAATAACAAAATTCATTTTAACGTTCCTAGGCTTACAAGGATCAATTGGTCCAGGTTTGTTCGTGTTTTTATACAAAGCCTTTCTCATTTTTTTTTCTAATTTCTTGTTTAAAATAGTTGGTGATCAGGGTGACAAAGGTCAAAAAGGTACCCCAGGTGAACAAGGTTCAAAAGGTTTACAAGGAGAGCAAGGACCAATTGTAAGTAGACACGAAGATGACTTTAATGTTCAGACTTCACATCTTTTATATCTTGAATGCTTACATAGGGCCGAAGAGGCAATAAAGGTACACGTGGACAAATGGGTATCCAAGGTTCGATTGGTGAAAAGGTACGAATCGATTGATCATCTGATATATTCATGTTATTAAGTATATCATTGATTGTTTAGGGTAATATTGGTGGTATTGGTAGCAGAGGTGAACGTGGAAAGAAAGGAGAAAAAGGTGTTCGAGGCACTCAGGGAATTCAAGGAGACGTAAGTGAATTTTGCATTTGTTAATTTACCATAACGTGATTTTGCGAATATATGTATATCTCTATCGTACTTGTATTTAGATTGGTATTCAAGGACAACAGGGATTCACGGGCGACGAAGGCTCTGTAGGATTTAAAGGTGAAAAAGGTTATGAAGGTGATGAAGGTGAAGTTGGTCCAGATGGAGATAAGGTTATTATTTAGTTTTAATTGTGATGTTGATGATAGAAATTCTTTTTATCCTCTAATTAGGGAATGCAAGGTATTAAAGGAGACAAAGGTAATGTGGGAGCCATTGGTTTCAAGGGAATTACAGGAAACCAGTAATTATCAATAGACTATTTTAACTATATTTTTTTATCGTTCTATTTTAATAGAGGTATTCAAGGTCAAATAGGGTCTATAGGAAATCGTGTAAGTGTTCATATATTTTTCATTAAAACAAATAAACTATGATTTGATTTATTTTTCAATAGGGTGATAAAGGCAATAAAGGATTTGAGTAAGAAAGTTTTCTTTAGTTTTATTGATAGTCTACGTAGTAAGGATATTTATATAGAGGAGCAGAGGGTATTCCAGGTCCTGTTGGTGATCGTGGTTTTACTGGAAGAGAAGGTCCTGCAGGTGAAATAGGGCAAAAAGGTGAGAAAAATTCTTGTTAATACATCACGTAGACATACATTGAAATATCTCTATTATTGATATAGGTGAAAAAGGTGATAAAGGAGATCTAGGTGAAAAAGGCGAAAAAGGTTTTGATGGACCACAAGGAATTATTGGTGAACAAGGTGTACAAGGACCTGTCGGAGATCAAGTAAAGTTATCAATAGAATCATAACATTTCATACTATTAATTTATGAATTGCACTTTGCACAATAGCTGATACACATATTAGTCTTTTAATCATGTTTTGTTTTAAATACTTTTCAGGGTATAAAAGGTTATCGTGGTATCAAAGGTGAATTAGGAGTTATAGGAGAAATAGGTCCAAAGGTAATTTTAAATAAAGATTGTCAACATAACAGTTTAACTTGAACACATATTGTTTCTATAAATCAGGGCATCGAAGGCTCGATTGGAATAACTGGTTTCAAAGGAACACACGGTGATATAGGCATTCGTGGAAACCAAGGAGATCAAGGTGATCATGGTATTATTGGTGATAGAGGCAAACAAGGTTTACAGGTGAGTTATATATACTATGTTTGTTAACACAATAAGTTGTCCGCTTCGTTTCTCTTTTAGGGAGTAATTGGTCCAAAAGGTATCTAGATAAAGAAAAATATTATTTCAAACTTTAAATTTTATTTTAATTTATAGGCATTACTGGTATCGTTGGAAATATAGGAAATAGGTTAGTTTCTTATTTTTATGTTACCTTATTGACATCATTGTATAATGATTCTGATGTTCTTTGGTTAGAGGACCTATGGGTCAAATTGGTCAAAAAGTGAGACTTTTATAATCATGTATAATAATTAGTATAAATATATTTTATTTAGGGAATAAAAGGAGATACAGGTGATCAAGGAAGAATCGGTGATATTGGTCCAATAGGTAAATTTTTATCGATCAAAAGAATTGGTAAAAATGACTTTATACAATAACATTTAGGACCAACAGGTGAAAAAGGTTCGAAAGGAGTTACTGGTGATATTGGACCAAAAGTAAGGAAAGAAGATACTAAATTCTATCTAATTTCTAGTCTATATTCTAGGGATATGTAAGTATTTGTTTACCAGTTTAATTAGAAGCTATAAATATATTCATAACAGGTCGGTTCGACAGGTGATATAGGTAGAACAGGACCAAAAGGTATGTTTATTTTCAAGAAGTATAAAATGATTAATTGAATATCTATGCAGGAAGTACGGGTAGTCAAGGTCCTCAAGGAAACGTAGGATTACAAGGTCAAATAGGAGGAAAAGGTTCAAAAGGTGACACTGGTATTAATGGCACAAAAGGAAATGTTGGTATTACCGGTGTTGTAGGTGAACAAGGAACCGAAGGTAGAATGACATACTAAAGTGTTCAAAAAAAGATTGTTTTCATTTATGTATCAGGCGAAAAGGGAGTCATTGGTGCAAAAGGACAGGAAGGTCAAAAAGGTAAACGTGGACCAATAGGGCCACAAGGTAACAAAGGTTTAGAAGGAGATATTGGCGCCATTGGTGATCAAGGAATACAAGGATTAATTGGATCGGAAGGTATAGATGGTGTAATCGGAGTAAGTATTTTAATTATAAGATGAAATATTATTTTGATTGTGTTCGATATAATAAATTTCTAGGATACTGGAATTAAAGGCATTAAGGTATTTTACCATTGATGAAATAGAAAAATAGTTTATTCATAAAGTTTTTCTCTTAAAAATACTTTTAGGGAGCTGTGGGAGAAAAAGGTAAAACAGGACTTGCAGGTCTAACAGGCGATAAAGGAGAACGTAAGTAGCATTATTGATTATCAAAAAAAAAAGATATGAATACATTTCAAAGAGGGAAGTAAGGGTATTGTTGGTGGACAAGGCAATACAGGTGCTAAAGTAGGTATTCTCTTGTTTTTAATTCAGATGTAAAAGATCAAAATGTCTTGACTAGGGTTATGAAGGACCCATTGGTTTACCTGGTCTTTCAGGACCTCGTGGTCTTACTGGTATTATTGGTGAAAAAGGTTACGGTGGTACTCGTGGAAGCAAGTAAGAATTCTTCGAAAATAAATAAATCAAAACATCATATGCAAAATATTGTATATGAATATGTAGAGGTCCTATTGGTCTTCCAGGTGAACTTGGATTAGCAGGTGATGAAGGTCCAACTGGAGATGTAAGATAAATTATTTCATTGAATTTAAATTATAATTTTGTTGTCTTTCTTTCAATCTAACTTGTCTTAGATTGGATCACCTGGAGAAGTTGGTAAGTAAAATTTAAAACAAAATGATATTTAAAATATTATACAATTTTATTTGAAGGCGCATCTGGTAGTCCAGGTAATCCAGGTCAACGAGGACCTCGTGGTATGTGAAAGATATATTGAATCTTCGGAAGCTTTTAGGTCTCTCCCGTCGAAAATCGATTTTCGATATAATGCTTAAGACATTCGTATAACATTCTAAAGATGACCGACTAATCAGAGTACACTATTAAAAAGATTGTCTGACTTTCCAGCTATAGATTGGGACTGACATTGTAATAACGCTTATAGTTTTCCTATTTAGTGGAGGAAGAGGCTTCAAGTATTTTTGATTCGATCTAAAATTTTTATCTTCAGGTGATGTTGGAAGTCCAGGTCCAGCTGGTCCTCCTGGTCCTTCAAGTGCATCATCTACAACATTGACTACAGCTAATTTGATGAATCTTTTTACTACAAGTACTCAGATAGCACAATTATTCAACGTACCATTGGATAGATATAAACATACTGATTTTTCAAATCGATTTAATAACAATGAAAATCCAATGGTAACTGCTTCAAGATTTCTGGACAATCTCAAACGTCTCTCGAATGATATTACATTAAAAATTAAACCTGATGGAAGTCAAATGCATCCTGCTCGAAGTTGTCGTGATATTGCTGATTATTATCCAGAGAAATTAAATGGTTAGATTTAATTTTTTTTTACTTCTTTTTTTTTTTGTATTTTTGATTTTATAGGACTTTATTTTATTGATCCAAATGAAGGTTCAAAAATTGATGCTCTACTTGTTTATTGTAAACTAACTGAACGATTAACATGTGTCAATTCAACAAATGGATTAATTCAATCAAATATTTTTTTAAGAAATCGAATTCATTATGGTAAACATATTCGATTAATGGGAGATCTTCTACAACAATCAGAAGTATTATAAAATAAAAATAATTTACTAACTATTTATTATTCATTGAATTTTAGTTTAACTATGATATTGAAACAAATCAATTACGTTTTCTTCGAATGCTTTCTGAACAAGCTTCACAAAATATAATATTCAATTGTCATAATACAAATATTGATATATCAAATCATGATGTTAAATTAAGAACTAAAAATGGTATGATTTATCAAATGTATTCATTCAATGATGATTCATTACGATATAACATAATTCAAGATCAATGCAAAGTAATCTTATCTTTGAATATTATGTTATTTTCTTTTCATTTTTTTTTCTTAGCATTCTCGTGGTCAAACAATTCTATCAATATCAACAAATAAATCTGTACGTTTACCAATTATTGATATTGAATTACTAAATAATTTCAATCAAAATGAAGATTTTACTATAAATATAGGACCTGTTTGTTTTACATAATAAATATGTGAATACTTTTAAATATAATAAACAACATTATTTATTGCAGCTAAGAGGAAAAGAAATATACATTATCCAGTGACACAAAAAAAACCAAAATGGTTGTGATTAAACCTTAAGACTAAATAATAAAAGAACTTTAGTTGGTATAAATAATAGATATGAGAATGAACTAAAAGCAATTCAAAACGAGATCAAAAACTAACATATTTTTTGTTTTATAAATTTTCTTCTTTATTTTTATCGTCTCCATTGAATGATTTTTCCACTTTTCGTTTTGGTGGTGTATATGTTATTCGTGGTCGATATTCATTTACATCCTGAGCTTCACTTAGTGATATATCATCATCTGGATCACCATCATCATCATGATCATGGGTTACATGTAATGGTAAGTCAGGATGTGTTTGAATTGATAATGAATGACTTAAATGTGGTGCCATAGCTGTAACTGGACAATATGTTGAACGACGACGATCATGTGCATCCATTTGAGATTTTTCATCACCCCATGATTTAACATGCATTGGTTCTTCGGGATCAACAGTTGATTCATGAGGCATCTAAACATTAAAAAAATAAAAATGAATTTGAAGAACAAAAAAAAAACACGAAAATAATAAACTTACCAATTGTGGAACAGCACGAAAAAAATAGAAAAATGGATAATAAACAAGATTCACAACTGAAGAAGCATAAATATCAGCAAATCTTGTTACTTGTGAAGCAAAGTGTGTTTGTCGAGAACCTTGATTTAATAAAATATAGATAATTAAATCAATATAAATAATTTACCTGTTCGAAATAAAGAACCCAAAAGACCAAAATTCATATCAAGTTCATGTGTACATTCCTACAAAGACAAAAACAAACAAATAATTTGAATCACTTAGAAAATGTTTTCTTTTAATTCCAATTCATATAATCTGTCTATAGCAATCGCGACCTTCGACTACCGGAAGTATTTTCCCTTACATATAAGTTGTTTTTGTGCTAAATTTTTTCGTAATTTTTTTTTTACTATTTGCCAGTCTTCGGTCTTTTTTCCGATGAAAATTCGGTTACTCAAGATATTTCATCGATAAAAGAATATTTTCCCATCACAATAATAATGTTTTTACTGGAAAATTCATTCATTCTAGTGATCTTTCTAGATCTGTCTATTTGATATTTTCTTAAATATGTCATTATTTCAAATTTTCTATGCATATGTTATATTGACATGTTGTCTAATAAAGATCATATTATTATGAAATCACTATGTGCTATTGTGTCGAAAATTGTTTCCAAAAGAAAAGAAGTCAACATCGACTTTCTAACAAAATTTAGGCTTCTCCCCCCTCCGCTTTCAATAGTAATTGAATACCATAGTGAAAATCTAATCAATGTTTGTCTTGTTATATAATGTTAAGAAAATTGTTCTATCTAGGATGAAGCACTTATTTCTTTGTGTACGTGTTTGACGATTTATCTTTTGTGAATAAACACATTATATATTGGAGCATAGCTGACATAGTGAATGAATTAATGCTTTTCGAACATGTATTATTGAATTACTTTAGCGATGTCTCGATACAGAGGAAGTTTTCAAGACAACATTTCCGTTCTGAAAATATATATTAAGTGAACTTCTGCTCCCTCGTTCACAATCTTGATTCCTTAAAACTTCTTTAAAATCTACGGGAATTGTTTCTCTAATGAAGGTTTGTGTATAGTGTGTGAGACAATGAAAGAAACTGGATTCTACTTTATTTTATTTTGTTGTCCAATCAAATTTATTCAAGGCAATCTGCTATAACTCTTTTATCCTTGTATACACAACAACAACTGTCATTATTTATTCTACTACTCCTCCTATGCATGATCTTTTCAAACGATGTAGTTCGATAATTTAAATAATGTTTCTATTAAATATTCCTATTGTTGTAATCGATTATGCAGATTAAATGGGAATAATATTATTCTCTTTTATGCGTCATTCCGATATATGTTCCACTTGTTGGAATAAAATTTATAATATGAATGTTCGCTCAGTTGGTTATCTGCAATTTTGGATAGATATTTATCAATCTATATAAATCTTTGTTCATGAAAGCCAATTCATAGATGTAACTCATCCATGAGTAGAGAATTTAGATACTCTTCACTTCTATGACTTTTTCAAGATTCTTGATGCTATCATTCATAGGGAAAAGCTTTGAACTAAAACCTATTGATATTTTTCTAAGAATATCAGAATGTGAGAGTTAATTCTGAATGAAATGTTGTGACTGTTAAGTTGAATAGAAATAAGAAACAGAGTAATCACGTAACTCTGTCAGGCAACACATTTTTACTAATTTTTACGTTATGACTATTCTCGGTAATATTTCTTCTGAAGTTTTGAAATATAATATCCAATGCCAAAGTTTTTGAAAAGATGTCAAACTCTTTTATTCTATATTGCCAACTTCTAATTCAATCGATGTTTTTTTGTTTTTTGTTAGAAAAACCAACGTCTGAACTACAAACTTTGTACCATATATAATGTTTTAGAATGAATCTGATGAGAAGGAAAAGTCTAAAGTAAAAAATCTCTAAAAACAAAATTCTGGTAAAGATTTGTTCGATTTTAAAAGTTCTTGTATTTCTGGGTTGTTTTGAATTACATGAATGGATCGAATTCAAACAAAAATTCACGAAAATCTGACGCATCAACAACTCTACTGATACCAATTTTGTGACATTTTTTAGATCTGTTCTCAATTCTTAAATCAAAAACAAAAAAAAATTTGAAAAATAAAATTTTTAGTGAAATAATTCTTTACAAAAAATCTCTGTTTGCCAGAACATCAGCCATCATCGTCAGACATTATGCATAAATTGAATTCTTTTTGCACCATGTATTCGAAACATTTCAGGTCATTGCCATTTAGAAAACGAAACTAATTAATTCAAAAAATAGTTTTTTATTCTTGTAAAACGATCAACTTAACCAGGTTTTTTTTAGAAAAGTTGTATTTTGTGATACAAATGATGAGTAAAATTAATTTCCGATACACTATTGAAAAGAGTACTCGTTACGCTAAAAAAACAATCAGCATTAAACGTATATTTTCATTTCCTTTTTGGTTTAACAAAAAAAAAATTAATGAAAAATAAAAAATGCTGTTGTTCGAAGATGAAATTGCAAGAACTTTTCTGGGAGTGTTAGCTTTTCGGTTTTTTGTCCTTGTGTTAAGTTCATTGGGGGAAGGAAAATTTGTAGTTCAGACATTTTTCGTTCTAACAGTTTAGAAGTGAGCAATATAGTACAAGAGAATTTGACATTGTTCTCAAAGCTTTTGCATTGCATATTGTATAAAAAGACTCAGAATTTTGAAAACCGTGGTCAGAAGAAAATTTTCTTGGTTTTTCTTCTTTTTTCACTGTTGCACTTGGACGAATGAATAACTGTTAATATTTTAAACTTTGCTCCAACAAAAAAAAAAAAACTTGAAGGACAAATACAATAGTTTTGTAGAAGAAAAGTCCTCTATTGAATGACTTTCTAAAAATGTGCTCACATAAAAAAAAAAGAAAATGATTTTGTTCCGTTTAATCTACGCTACCCGCTGTATCTTTATATTTCTTAATGATTCTTTTTTTTTTTTCTTATTTGAATGTTCATTCATAGTACTCTATGGACTTAAATGTTACCAGTCATTCAAAAATTAAAAAATAGTTGTTCTCTCTATGATCATGAACGGAAGTATTCTTCGTATTTTATAATTAGTCTTTTGAAAAGAAACTAATTTATTTTTTATAAGAATATTACTTCAAATACTAACTAATTAATAGAGTTCGTCATCATTTGTTGAAACAACAATAAAAAGAAATTGTCGTACAATATTTTATAAAATACTAACTATTACTTTTGACAAGAAAATGTTTTGTCTATAACTGAAGATTATCGGTAATGATAGGTAATAATTATAGGATATAATAAGATGGAATTATGATAATATTCTTATTTTCTTTTATAATAATAATGTCGAGAAAAAAAAGGTTTTATTTCTTCCAGGTATTCTATTTTCTTTTTCAACACTACATTCGGAAATAAAACTCAATACCTTTTTTTTATGTCCCTACAGGAACATTAAAAAGAAATAAAAAATCTATTATTTTACTTAAAAATCAAATTCCATCTGAATGAAAAAAAAAAGGAATCTAGTACTTATTTATTATGCAAAGAATTTTATATAAAAAGCAAAACAAAAGATTCTATAACTATAGAATTCATAAATTATAAATTTCAAAAGTTTAATCGAAAATTTCAAACTCTCAACTATTCTTTATCATAAATCTTTTATTCAAAATCGAGCTAATTATTTTTTCTTTTGTTTTATTTTACTTGTATTTTTTGTTTGATTTTTGTAACAGCATCAGGTCTATGAACCGATGTCATATCAAATGATCGAAGTAATTCACTGATTGATGTATCTAATGATTCTAATGTATTAAATAAATCTCTTTTCTCATGAAAAACTTTTAATTCATGATTTAATTCTGGTACAACAAGCATTGTTCTCCATGCTTTTTGTTTTTTTGATTTAATTATATCACCAAATATATGATCACCAACATATAAAACATCTTTACCCATTGAACCAATTAATTTTGAAACAACTTCACATGAACCTAAACAAGAAAAAAAAAAAGAACTCAACGATATAAACATATTAATTAATAAATATTTTTTATTCATTATTTACCTCCACTATAAACTTCATTTTCTAGTAATTGTCCAGAATAGGAACCCAATTTCATACTTCCAGTTTGTGGATCAATTAATCTTAATGTTGTACCTTCAGCAAAAAATAATGGTTTTTGTGCATCAACAAGTATATAATTAAAAAATGTTTTCCAATCACGTTTTGTTTTTGACTCATCAGATTTATCCGTTAATAAATAAGTCATTAATTTATCTGTATACCAATATTCACTATTAGTTAATAAAAATGTTTTCGCATTATGCGAAC